TTTTTTTTTTTTTTTTTTTTTTTTTTTGGTACCGGGGATCAAACTCCGGTCCTTGTGCTTGCGAGGCAGGTGGCAGAACCACTGAGAGCAATCCCTGGTGCGCTTCTCACTTGTTAATACTCCTTTATAGGTGACTGTTTTACCATGCATTTTGGAAGGATGCTGTCTTAGGCACCTTCCGCCTCATTAGGACAAAATACCTGACACACACAACTTATAGGAGGGTCATTTTGGCTCATGTTTCAGTCTCAGTCTTTGCACGGTTGGCTGGCTCTAAGGCAGGACGCCATGGCACAGTGTTAGCTGCTCTCCTCACTGCATCCATGGGAGGGAGGGAGAGAGGGAGAGAGGGAGAGAGAGAGAGAGGGAGAGAGGGAGAGAGAGAGAGAGAGAGACAGAGACACTGCAGGACAGAGACCCACTGTGACCCAGTTGGCCTCACATCCTAACAGCACATTTATCTATAAACTCATCAGGGGAAGTAGATAAACTCACTAATGAATATGGTTTCTCTCATTCTCCAAAAACCTCCATGAAACCCACCTAGAACTGAATGAGGCCCTCTGCATGCAGAACCAATAATAGATTCAAACAGTCAAACCAAGCAGCTTCCGGACAGTAAGAGCTTCGTGCTAATATCAGTTTATCCCAGGACGACTCCAAAATATACTGTTAGTTTTCCACTGAGTTTTAAAAAAGCATGAAAGCACGAGACACTTACAAGCCGTAAGACCCACAGGACCCGTGGATGCGGAACGCGCTCACTGGCTCTATTTTGATGTAAGCCCCAGACTCTCCAAACAACTTTTTTAAGAATGTGAAACTGAGACTGGCTTTCAGGGTAGTATGTTTTCATGTTTTGTTTTGTCTGATTATCTATAAAAGAATTATTTTGATATTGAAGAATAACCATTGTTTAATCTCTCTAGAAATGTGAGGAGCATTCTCTTTGTATCCTCTTAGCTGGAGAGAGATCTTCAGGGATCTTTCTAATGATGAAGACAGACTCCCAAGAGGAAGAGAACACGCAAGTAAAGACATCTTCACCATGATCCGCAGAATATCTAATTAGGAAACACGCAGAAGAGTTGGAAAAGGACAAAGTCTTATTTGAGGGATGAAAATGTACATTAAGGCTTTGTAGCTAGATAAGGGGAAAAGATTTCTAACTGTGGTCTTTCAAAAATATATTTATAGTAGTATACTTTTTTCTGGGTAAAATTTTTTAAAGTTCCAATCACATTTGCTTTGATAAACTTATTGCAAATGAAAAACAATATGTGTTTGTTGCTTGGTGATTTATAAGTCTTTCCTCACTACTTCAAAGATGAATATGTGGGTAGAAATTTAGATTTCTAAAGCTATTCACAGAGGGAAGGCTGATCATATGAGAAATACTGACCGTAACATTGATTTGTGCAGGGGGTTTGGGAATTATGTGAAGTGAAATATAAGCACCAGGAAATCCCAGAGATTATCACTGCAAGGGAAAAACATCTCATGTTTGTTGAATTAAGAAACAGCATTTCACATTGAGTTCTCCCTCTTTAATTCAATCTGTTAACTTAAATCTATACTAATTGAGGGCTCCATTCAGCTCAAAAGTAGGATCTCTAAAAGAGCACAAAACCCATATATTACATACCCTTCCGAATTATAAAATATATATGGCAGCACTGAACTGGCTGAATTTCCCATTCCAGATATCAGATATCTGTTAAGTTCAATAAAGACAAAAAGTATCGGAGGTACTGGAAACGTAAAACTTGCATTCATCAGATATGCTTTATACATTCTCTTTTGGTTTCTTTTCACAGGTTTTTATGATGTGAAATGAAGTCAATTTCAGATTTATCCTATGTGACCAGAGAACTTAAAGGGCTTCTGGGAATGAAGTGAACGGCCGAACACTGGGGCACTGGCAAGAATGTTTTATTCTTTTAATAGAGCCCCCTTTTCAAGAGGTTACTGAAGCTGATGAACATGCCCTGGGTAGAACCAGAAACCACTAATCCGGGCAGTCTTTTGCTCATTTGAGGAAAGGATGAAATATACTTTTATCTTCCTTCTGAGGAGTTTGCCCACCTGCATCTCATACCAGGAATCCTGACCCTACTTACCTAGTACCATCATTTTTTATTCTTTTATTATCAGGGACTGTGAAGACATAAGATACTATCACAATTAACAAGAGGAACATCTGCTCTTAGAATCCCAAATTCTAATTTGCTCTTAGAAATTACACATTTTGGATCTGAAATGTCCCTTCAAGTCTCAGCTGTTCAAAGGTAATTGGATGATAGGGGTGCAGTACTCAGTGGAGCACGCATCCGTGGTGAGCTCAGCAGTGGGGTGGCTGGTAAAAGGTGGGCCTGGTCAGAAGAGGAGGTCACGGGGGTATGACCCGGAAGGGTATCCCTCCTGCCCCGGCTCAGTCATCCTGGTCTGTTTTATGTATTAAAGATAGAAGAATTTCACCAACTGAGCTGCTGGTGTATCTGTACCTCAGCCCTCTCCAGAAATAAAGAGAAAATACAGAGAGACAGACTTGACTCATAGCCTACTTTTAATCTTTTTCTGTTGTTGTTTGGAAAAAATTCCAAATTTTAAAAAGCTAGCATTTTAGAGTTGTCATCACATTCTTTTCTGAGGAGAAACACATCAGTTCAACCATCATTTATCTTTACCTTCTGTACCCTCTGTAGCTGAGGTCTGACTTCACAAACTCGTCATGCTAAATTGCCCCGTGTAACATGCCTCTCCTCAGTCTTGTCAAGGAGCTAAGTTAGTTTGAGATTCTTTTGTTTTTTTTTTCCTTTTTTATTATTTATTAGTACACGTAGGTAGCACACAATGCTCACATTTCTTGTGGAAAGTTGGCATATGTACCTCACAGATCTTAATTCTGTTTCTCTTTCCTCTCTTTACCCATCTCTGAATCCCCAGAAGGAGGTGTTTGAAAATCTCTAGCATAGTCCCCTCACTTTACACACTCCAAGGAAAACTTCTGTGTTGCAATAACTAGTTGGAGATTACTCAGACCTGTAGCAAAGACAAAGCCAGAGTCCACCTGACCCTTTTTTCATATCCCCTGCTTTCCCGCCTACCCTAGATCGAATCATTCAGTCTCTGAAGTTTCCATTTATCCAGCATATGCCTTCTAGAGATTGGGCTTCATGCAAGGAAGTCATGAATCCTACTAGATGCAACTCAAACTTTGTGGGGAAATCTAGACATAAACTTAAGTGTTGCTAGGAACCTCGCACAATTCAGTCACCTGCCTTGCTATGTTCCCTTTGACTCATAGACTTTTATCTCTATTTGAATTATTACCATGTCAGAGAATGCTTTAATTTCTAAAAAGACTACCCCATTCCTGAGCAGGACTTAAGTGGAAAATTACATTATTTTAAGCAAAACATGCTAATTCAGAATTTCTACCAATCAGCCAAGGTTTCCTACTAGGGAGAATATGGCTTAGTTCTCTACCCCAGGATAGCAGACCAGAAAACCATCTCCCTTGAGTCTTAGTATTAGAAGCTTTGAAATTTAATAAGGTATTTCCACCCCAGAGGGCACTGCTAGAGAAATTTCAAACCTAAGGCCTCCCTTCTGTTCCTAGGAGATGGACAGTTGCTATGGGGATGGGGAGAGAGATGCTGTCCTCAGGCACTCCATGATTTCATCCCAGCAGAGCTCCTGCTGAGGCGTAAGTGCTTGCTAAGAATTTTATAGAGATCAATCAGCTGGGCCTAGCAGAGGAAGTGCTGGGTCCCTCTGAGCCGGACTCGGGGAACATGATTTATTTAGTGCTTATTGAGTGGCTCTAATGTGCCTGCTTTCCCTCCCTCACAGAAAAACACAGAAATTCTGATTATATTATAACCTCGGGCTCCTGGTTTTAGTCATAATTCTTGGATGGATTTGAATGTTTTAAAATTAAAAGAAGAGAGCATTCCCATAAACCTTCCACTGATCAAGGACCCAAAGGCCCAGTCAATGCAGCTAACTGCGGGTCAGACTCCCAAGTTAAGCTCTTGAGTTTTCTGTGGCCGTAAACATGAGAAAGCAGCTCAGACTGGCTTTAGCAGGATCTTCAGCATGACTCACTCAGCATTGGGAATTTCGGCTGAGAATACAGTTATTCCACCAGGCTGTTGTACAAACTAATGAGAAATCTGTTTATAGAGGGAAACCTCACTCAGAAGACACTGGGACCACGTTGGACAGAAAGGGACACAGGGGAAGCCTGAGGCAGGCAGTCAGGAGCCACCCAACATACAACGCAGGGCTCAGTTTCGTGTTGATTTTGTGTTGGAGCAGAGCGTGGAAGGAACGTTCTTCGATGGTGGGAGCCCCGTCTCTAGAGCCCCTGGGGGACGCCAAGGCAGCCTCAGACCATCCATGATCATCACGGGGTCAGGAAACCGGAAACGGAGACTTAAGTCCGTACATATATTTAGTGATTTAGTGACGTCTTTTCCAGTTCACAGGCAGAACAACAGCTAGAATCACAAAAGTCAAAATCAATGTTTTACCTAGTTATTCCTGATTATACATATGTGGAAAAACTAAACGATTGCTAAGACCCTTTGCCAACAGAGTCTTACATTAGAAAGGATCATTGTATTCTAGGATGGCAGCTCTTCATAGCTGTGTCAATTCCCTGGAAATTTTAGAATGTTCAGTAAAAAGCCAATTTTTAAAAAAAAAATAATAGGGAGATTTGTCACACAGGGCAGAAACTTCTTGAAAAGCATTAGGGATATTTTAATATATCCATAGCATGTGTATTATATGAGGAAGAATGTTTTTAAACATTGTTCAAAAATTATTTAGGATATATAAGAAGAAATGAGGAATAATAAAATGAATTCTCATGATCATTCTCAAACGTAGGAAATAAAGAATGACCCATAAATTTGAAGTTACTCTGTTCTACACTTAATCTCATCTCCCCAGTTCCCTGAAGGTAATCTCTAACTGGAATCACTGTTTTTATATTCCCAAGCAATTTTTAGTAAAAGTAGCACATAGTATTGACTCAAGTGGCTGAATAAAATACACTCTATGTAAAGTGTGTAGTTTCTGTAATTTGCCTTTCCTCTCAAAGTTATGTTTGAATCGTTCACCCACATCAAATAAATACAGCTCCAATCCACTCATTTTTATTATTAATATATTATTTCTTTTTCTCCTCTATCGACAGATATATAGACGATGTTTACTTTGGCTAAAGCCTGTATACTGTCAACTTTGGTAGATATTGTCAGGTAGATTGTTCTTGAGAGTAAACTAACAAACTCAGGTGGGCAATGATTCGCATTCTTACTAATATGCTATTGTTAGCCTATTACAAGTTTTGGCAATTAGTTGAACCTCATTATGATTTTAATACCCGTGTCTCTGATTTCTAGTGCTGTAAGCATACATATTATTGCATCTTTTATGGTAAATTGTTTCCAAATTTCCTCCTCCGGTTCTTAAATTAACTATTATACTTTCTTCTATCACTCATTCTTACTCATTTCTGCAGCCCATTTCCCTCCCTTCCTCCCCCTCCCTCTCTCTTTACACCACCCACACATTCACACGCACACACAATTCACTGATATGTGTATTGCAGAGGCGGATGCACAAATGCCCTCTCAATTCGTAACACGGAGTCTGACCTAAGGAAAGTTCTTAATAAACATTTTCCGAATAAACAGAGTCGTTTTGTGAATTCTGAATTCCCTGCAGGTCCTCATGACAGAAACGATCAATGAACTGATATTCTTACAGTCACGTCCTGCTGCATACCCATCCTGTACACTCTAGCTAGTTATTCTTCTGCTCCAGAACTAAAAATCTCTTTTGGCTCCCTATTACTGAGCAAAAGCAGTCCAACCTTCTTGTGCAGTTAAGGCCCCTCCTTAAACGGAGCCCTTTTGTCTATACCATTTCATTTCTTGATGTGGGTCCCATAAAAGCTTTCTGTTCTGTGTCTGTCGGTTCCCTTACCCTTCCTTTCACAAGACTGCTTACTATGGAGATTTTCCTTAGAATCACTCAGTTTTATGCACAGAGAAAATACTGCATTTTTTAGTGGCCTGTAAAAATACTGAAGGGCAGAGTCTGCCTCTTTTCATATACAGAATATATAAGGATGATTTGGATGAAACAACTGCATTCTGGGGAATCTCCTAAAATAAATTTCATATACAACATTAAAACTTATCTCCAGTATGAAACTGATAAACTGAGTGTCAAAATCCACCAAAGAGATTAAAGTTACAATTTTCATGATGTCTTCGTCAAGTAGGAGCCAGGCACTGTGCTGTACTAGAGGGATACAGAGAAAATTTTATCAGTTTTTGTTCTGAAGGAACTGAAATTATGAAAGAGAAAATATACATTTTAATGTTGCTATTTACCTCTACCTCCATATCTCTAACTTGTTCTACAAGCACATTTGTAAACTAATCTTGCCTTCTCTGAGGTACTTATTTTGAGATCAAGAAATAACTAGAAAATATGATCTTCAAAAGGTTCTTGGAAGTTTCTTGGAAATCATTTCTTCACAAGAGTGAGCTACTTCCTTTGAGACAATAGAGTAACTGAGAAATTAGACTCAGAAAGGACTACTGCAAATAGCTGAGCTCTTTATTTCCTTCTTATAGTGAATAAATATGCATCCAGAATGAAGAGAAGAAACAGAGGTCATCGATACGAGACGATCCCTAAAGTTCAGAAGACAGGGATCTAGAGACTAATCTAGAGTTTTGTTTTTTCCTTGACTTTATCTCCTATTGCTGCATGCCTAACATAATTTTCTTATAAGTAAAAGCTCTATGATGCAGGAAAGAATAATAAACTCACCAGAGAACCGATGTTCTATTTTTGTTCTAGCCACTAATGTAAAAAGGGAAATGAAGAAGTTATACCACGTGATCTCCAAAGTAACTCAGCACATTCTATGTCCCAGTGATTCTAGAGTCAGAAGTGTCCTCACCATGTCTTCTACTTAACAAATGACAGAGTTGATGGCTTTATGAGCCTCTGTGCATATTTGAAGTTTTGAAAGCACAAGTATGATTATTGTCAAAATTTAGACAGCACTTAAAAATATTGTCTCTCTTAGCAATCACCTTGCACACTTAGTAGAATTTCAATGTCTTTACCAATTTCAAAGTGAAGTACATGGGTTACTCTAGAGCTTATTACTTTAAAACCAAGAACATTCATTAGATAGTTATCTGCAAGGTAAAAATCCAAATGAAATAAAAATGCTGGGTGTCCTTGACAAATGCAATATGAAAAAGGAAATATTGTAAATTACTACAGAAAATATTGAGTTGTCATGAAAGTTCTGGGACTCTGAGGGAAGGGAAAAGAGAAAATAGTTAAGCTTTGTTTACAATTGTTTCCTGTAAAGCACATGCACAGGTAGGCATAAAGTATGGAAGGACAGTAAGTGGATGCCACACATAAAGATTTGTCTCCCAAATAAAAAAATAGATCTGATTTAAAAGTCCTCAGAAGTTATCTAAAACCAAAGCACCTTTTATCATTCTGCTGCCATGGCAAGATTGCATGTTCCAACTCCAAAGAATAAGAAAGACAGAAGGGAAGAAACACATGTCTCTAGGTTACATCAGTCTCTTTACCTCAGCTACACTGTGACTCTGCTTTCACCCTTCCTGGTCAGACTTTAGTAGCATAAACACACCTACCTGCAAAGGAGACTGTAAAACATAGTCCTTTAGCTGGATATATTTATTCAGGAATAAAATCAGGGTTCTATCATTAAGAAGAGAGAGATACTTGATATTGGGTAAGCGACAGGCAGCCTCTGTCTTAACACCCAAAAGAATACAAAGCAAATTGAGATTAAGAAGGGAGAAGTAGTGCATGAAATTGGAGTCACTTTTCACACATCACAAGGGTGTGTGGTAGGAATACTACTGCTGGTGGATTCTTGAGGCTTCAAGACTTATCGACAACATACTACCTACAAAATAAAGGAACCTAATACATCAGGAGTTGGCAGACTTTTTCTTAGCATGAGAACTTTTTTTCAAAACAAAATGTATGTAGCTTCCCAGGTAAGTCTGACAGAAGGAAGAACAGATCTACCTTGGTAGAGAGGGCTGGCAGGCCTCTCCTTTATTCTTGCGTATGATCTGGCTTCAAGGAAAAGGATGTAAAACCCATGGCTCTTTAGACTTAAACATTTCAGGGGTTGATGACTCAAACAGGAAAGGCCTACACAGACATTTTTCCATAAGCCTTTATCTATTTCTTCCAGTACTCGCTAAAAAAGGATTTGGGGGAGAAACTGGATGTTCTTATAAAAAATAAATTACAAACATAACCTTGTCCTTCATAGGATTTCTTCGTAACATTTTACAAATAGAGGTATACATCTTACATGCCTTGAAATTTACTAGAATTAGATATACTGCAAAGCTAGCTGTATATAATTAAAGGTTCCATCTTTGCCATAAAGTTTCCCCTCCATGAAGCATTACTTCTAAAGTCCACCAAAGAGTATTTCTCAGAGTCTACGTCTGATTGCATACCATTTTTTGTTCATTTCTTAGTTAATGGTTGGACTCTATCCAAAGGTGAGGAGTGGAGGGACAAGGTTGACCCTATTCCGTAAGTCAGTTTCATATGGCCATGGAGCGAGGAAGATTTTGTCCTACAGGAATTTTAGCCAAAGTGTTGGAGCTTAAATTTCATGTGTGGCGTTTCCTTTATGAGAATTAGCTGCTGTGCAGGTCTGAAAAAAATGCGAGGGAGAAAGAGAATTATATAGAGAGATGGTATAAAACCGAGGGTGGCTTTTGAGTCACACTTAATAGGAATATACAACTCTTTACACTTTCCAAGTTTCCCCCATTCTATCAGGACACTTCAACTGAAATAATAATCTCTTTTCTCCTTTAAATAATTCTTGTCGTACTTTTAAGACTGCTAGGGGAATAAAACACATGCAAAACTGAACATCAGCAGTACAAAAACATATGTAACAGCATACAGAACACCATAGACCTTGTAAAAATCCATTTAAGACCGCAGAGAAAAATCACCTCAAGGACACACCAAAATGTGTTTGAATGGAGAACATGGCTTTGAAAGGTAGAAAACTCATGATTTCCTCTTGGCTCTGCACTTGCCCCAGTGTGTGTCTTCTGTATAAAAGCATCCTTATCTGTCTGAATTTTGGTCTCACCAGTCATATAAAGCAGGGAGAGATCTCTTTTGTCAACCAGAGATACTGGGAATATTTCAGTCCTTATCCTAATAGTTTTAGGCCAAATGAAAGAAAGAAAATGGATAAAGAACTCAAAACGTATTCATCAGATGACAAACACTAATGATGCAGGATGATATGCTTCTCATAGGACTGGCATGAATTTGAAGGTATTTGCAGATCACACAGTTTATAATTATCTACTATTCTCCACATAGCTATTCAGCCAGTTTGACTAGTACATCTAGATCGCTTAATCTTTGC